TATATATAAACACACACACACACTCTGATGGCAAAACATGCTCTTAAGCAGATTTGGACTCACGGTCTTTAGCTGGTAATGGTCCAGATATGTCTACAAATACAGAACGTCCGAGAGCAAACAGCAGTGGCTGCTTGGATTACAGCAAGATACCACCAGGGGGTGGCCCTTCTGCAGCTGGAAAAATGTCTCTGCAGATTCCAGTTGGCCCACAGTTGAAGCAAAGAAAAACCCTCTCTCCGTCTTGTATGCGCAAAGAGTGAGTAACACTAATTGATATTACTTTGTGAATCAAAATTAATGAAACAAATATTGCATACTGGCATTTATATTTAAATGATCCCTGAATTTGGTTTTATTGTGCAAATCTTTTTCTAATCCTGCCACATCTCCAAACAGAAACCATTAAGTATGATTATATGTGTAAAATGAATAAGGTTCATCAAAAGCTTCTTTTTTTTTTTAGGTTTACATATTTAAATGCCCATTTCAAAAATATTTTCCACTCAAAGCAATATGAGCATTTCATGCAACCAAACTGATCATTGATCCCACACAATATCATTTTATTTGAAAAATCCCCATAAGATGCTATCTAAGCTATCTGGTGTTTGAGCTTCACAGAAAACTCATAGGTTTCATCAAACCAAGACATTTCTCTTTAAACCAATCAATGGATGGTTTTTAAAACTTTGATCTGGCCTCTTCTAATGATGCCCATTCCTCAACCATGAGTATTTGCTTGGGCTTCTTGCTGATGGCCTGGGTTGGCATCACATCATCCAGTCTTTCTCTGATCACCCTGAAGCAGCATTTTTTTTTTTTTTCATCCAAAAGAATAGCAGCCTTGGAATTTGAACACATTTTAGCTGAGTACCTAATTGTGAATTTCTAAGCTCTGTACCATAATTTTTACCATTGTTTTGTATAATTACAAAAATTACAGAAAACCAGTAGCAGGCATTTCATAACAGTCTCTTGTTTTTGTTTTCTACTACTCTCTTACACATGACAGTACATTATCTGCCCTGTGGAAGAATAATTTGTAGAAACATCTTATTTCGTTTGAACTGTTGGATTTTAGTTTAGATTCAAAGGAAATGGCTACCTTAAAATTCAATCATGAAATATATTTTAGATTGTGTTTTAAATATACTGGCAGGTGCAGAATACCATGCTTTTCCTATGCCTTTTTATTTCTTCATTTAGCTATTTAAAAACTGTTCAAAATAAATGAAAGAAAGTGGGATATATTTTATTTTTGATTTCTTTGTCTGCATGTAGATTTCAGCAAAACTCATCCTCTGAAGACTTGGTTGTTAAAGTTGATAAGGTCAGTTTATATGTACATAAATATGTTTTTCAAATCATTTCACTTGATATAATAAGGAATGTATTATTACTCTTTGTGAATCTAAATGAGGATCTTTAAAGAGCATGTTTGTGCTTCTTATGAAGTAATTTGATTAACAAATATAAAAATGCTGTACTTGTTCATGATTTTTTTTTTTATCTTTAATTTAAGGAGGTCTGTCAAAATATGGAGTCGGTCTTCAAGGAGCTTCTTACAAGACAGTCCCAGCAGGATGCATCTGTCTCTGCTGCTTCTGCTCAGGCTCAACAGAAAAAGGGAAAGAATAATGGACGGAGGGGGAAATGAGCTAGACTATTTAGAGCTGCGGGACTGAGAAAACCAACATCAGCACATGACATGAAGAGGGAGGATGCTGATGAACACCAAGGGGCAGTGTGAATGGCTCTGCAGGCAGATCTACTTCTAGAAATGTGAAGCCAATGAACTATGTTCCCTGCTCAGAGGCACCTAAGACTTAAAATCCTCTTAGCTGCAAATTATCTGATCAACTTTCTGTTGTGACTTTAAATCCACAGAAGTTTATGAAAACTGTGAATGATGTAAAATGCAAATATGTTTGCGTATAAATAAACGTTTAAGTTGGTTGGTATCAGCTGAACTGAATTTTTTCAGTTATGCTGTGCTGGTTCTCATGAAATCTTTTATAATAAGATGCATGTACATCCTAAACTGTGAATGCTATGGCAGTTATGTATTATGCCACTTTTGTCTGTTAATAAATACATATTTTCCTTTTTATTCAAGGCAAATAGGTACTCAAACTATATACATTTATGGGTATGAATGCTCTGCAACATTCTTGAGTGCGTTTTCACAAACGCCTCATAATGTGAAGGAGCTGAACATCAAAATAAGCCGCCTCATATAAAATGTATGCAGTTCATGGTCTTCACTACAGGTGCAGGAATGGCTGCAAAGAAACATTCCTTATAACCTAAATTGTCGTAAACTCCTGCTTTGGACATCTCTCCCTCTTCTGTTTCATAAAACAACCGTGCATCTATGACATTGATCTCCTTTGCATAAAATAGTCTAATTTCTACAAACTGTTATTGGAACCTTTTTTATTTTAGATTTTCAAAACAATAAATGTGATGCTCCTGTTTTAAGCTTACTTGGCCTCTTCATTTGCTGTTTAGTTATCAGGAATAGGCATTACAAAAAAAAAAAAGATGTTGAATTTATATATTCAGAAAAACACTGCTGGAAACATACTAAAAGCTAGATGGCAAGAATAACACGTTCTCAATTTGCATTACATTTTTATCACAATTCTTTAATTTTTAATTGTGTGTGTGTGTGTATCATAGTGTGTGGGACTATTCACATTTTGAACAAAGTTAATCAAGTCTAAGATGGCATTAAAGGCGGTACTTAAGCTATCACCTTCACTGTCAGCATAGATGTTAAAATATCACACCATGGTGACCCTATTAGTATTTTAAACTAAATCGGATAGGAACCCTGAAAACTGATCTAAAAATTCAGAGTAAGGACCTGGTGTATGACACAGAGTTACAAATGGAAAAGGTTATGTTCCTACGCAATTTGAATGATGGAAACTAAGTTTTAAATGTTCAAAGAATTGTAACTGTTATCTGGCTTTGGACTAATCAGGAAGCCAGCCTGAAAAGTTGTTACTCCTTGTCCTCACCCCAAATTTCTTGGTTTGTGATAATTTAAATAACTTGAGTTGCCTCAGTTATGCTCAGATAATCCTCTTCCTGCAGCCAAGTTTCTGTAAGGCAGGATAAATCAAAGTGATTATCACAAGTCAAGTCATTAACAGACTTTTTTAAGGAAGAGTTTGTTAGATAAACCCTATTTAATAGTTTTTTTTTCCTGATTGAAGTTATTTTAGAGTATTAGGATTTACTTCTTTAGGATTCGACACCGATGGAATAAAGAATGGGTAATAGTAGAGAAGCTGCATAGAGGTGTGTTAAACTACAACTGGGCTTTCTGATCTGCATCCTAAACTGTCGGGGTTTGGACTAATAAATTTGGCCAGATTCCTAGAAAGGAGAGCTGCAGCATCCAAAGTGGGATGGATGATCTCTCCCTGAATTTCAATTCAATAAGATTTGTGATAGATAATTTTGATTGCTTATTCCCTACAATTCCCTCTCTTTATCCATCCATCCATCCATACATTTTCCGTCCTGTTTATCCCTGCTGGGGTCACGAAGGGTGCTGTTGCCTATCTCCAGTTGTCCATGGCCAGAGGCGGTGTACACCGTAGACTGGTCGCCAGCCTATTGCAGGGCGACAGGGACTTCCTCTATAGTCTAATTAATGACAACCACAGCAATGACTTTCAAACAAAAATAAACATTTTTGGTTTATTTTTCACAATACCTTTCTATTATACGTAAATGCTCTTGAATGTTTTATAAAATTTACCTCAATCTTTTAATTGAAAAATATCACCTAAAATCCAAACCCTACTCTTTATTTAGCCCCTTTACTTTTAATAGTTTTTTGCTTTGATTTCACCTTTACGGAAATAACCTCACGTTCCTGCCTTTTTGAAAACAATGCTGGCTCTGGACCCGGACCAGCCCCAGAGCTGATGGCTCGGTTCCAATGGTCGGTCCGATCCAGTCAGCGGCCGAGCAGCCCACCCCCCCCAAAAAAGGGTCCTCCTTTTCATAAACCCAAGTATTAGCATTGTTTTCGAAAAACAGTGGCTAAATTTCTCTGCTCACTGACAGCTTCATCGTAGGTAGCCATGTATGTTGCGACTGTGGCCGGTGGCTGCTAACCAACCAATGGGCAGAAGTTGAGCCCTTAAGACACACCCCTACACATAATGAGGCAGAAATGCATATAGAAATGTAAAAACTACAGTCAGAAATAAATAGCGTGACAGAAATAAATAGTGTAAAAAAAATACAAAGGAAGAATAAACCAGACAAAAATATTATAACATGCACATAAATAAGTACTTATGAAATAAGTAATAAATAAATAAAGTTGAAGATTATAATGGACAATAAATAATTAAGGTAATTACTACAAAGGCAAATAAACAAAGAAGCTAATTAAATATATATATACATGCCTCACCGTATAATTTAATTTTTACCAACATTTATTTGTTTATTGTATTTTGGGGGGCAATTAATTGTATGCTTATTTATATTTTGGAGCATTTATTTATTTCTGTTTTTATTTTTTTAAATCCTGGCATGATTGGTCCTCCATACAATTAGCCTTTTTGTCTCTCAAAAAAGGCTTTAAAAAGAAAAAAAAAACTTTTATTGAAACGTTGCAAATTACAAAATATTAACATAACATATCTCAAGAAATAGAACATTATCTCTAGAATAAGTGTTTAATAATGGGGTGTAATTACATTAAGATATGACATACTTTAACTTAAATAAATAATCAGAAGAGATTTAAACAAAGACAAAAAACCAAACAAAAAAAAGGGCCAGTATATATTACATTTCTCCAAATATTTCCCGAATTACGTTAACAGTGTGTACACATTTTTTATTGTTGATTCTTTGGATACAATCGAAGTAACTCTCAAAAAAGGCTCCACTCATTCGATTCTCACTGATGACGTGTCTTCGGTGTTACTTCCCAGGGTGCTTTGCGGCGCTATGTACTGCGCATGCGCGGTAGCGATAGGCTGATGTGGACTTCTTTCACACAGAGTAGTCGTATAGCTGTCCTGTAACCTTTACTTGAAAGCAAAAAAAAAAAACTACTTATCGGACCTCAGAATGATCCGAATAGCTGCAGTCTTTACTCTGCTGGTGGTTGCTTGCTCGGGTGAGTATACAGAACCATTTAAAGAGGTTTGTTGGCTTTATTTAGCCTGTAATGCTAATAAAAAGCCCATACAACCACCTCGATATAGCTTTAAGCTATTTGTTAGACACCGCTAATGATATTAACTGTCTAGAATTTGGGTGTTACTTTCTCTGATAGTTAGCTAATTAATTTTCTGGGGCGGCAGGGGAGAGCTGTAAGGACCCAGTGATCACCCCTTCGGCCTACACTACCTCTGACGCCGTCATCTCTTCAGAGTCTGTCTTCATCGTGGAGCTCAGCCTGACCTGTGCTAATGGAGCCCAGGTAACTGTGAGATCCATATGTTTAATACATATCGGTACATTTGACAAACGAGCTGCTTCAATCAATGCTTGACTGAGGTGTCATGATCACTGCTTTCCTTTGCAGAGCGTCACTCTCTATGCTGATGTCAATGGAAGGCAGTTCCCTGTGACTAGAGGCCAGGATGTTGGAAAATACCAGGTATCCTCAATATAAATAAAGAAAGGGGGATGTTTGTGATCAATGTCTTTTTTTAGCCTCTTGTTTTGTCGAAGACTGTTTACACAATTTCTTAGGAACACACTACGTAAAACTATCCAGTCTTTTGAACAGCTTGTCACATGTTGGCATGCTACAGCCACAACTTCTAATGTATTTTAGATTGTGTTTGTCTCACCACAACATCTAGTGCACAACTGGGAAGGAAAGAGGAAAAAGCTAAAACTTACATTTTGCCGAAAACAAAATCCCGTCATCATTCCTGAGCACCCTGTCCTAATGGTGAAGCATGGTGGTGACAATATAATGATGTGGGATGGCCTCTTCCTTAAATTCTAATCCTTAAATTACAGTTCAGTGGCTGAATATTGAAATTGGGATCTCAGTTATGATAAACCAACACTTTTTGACTTATTTTTTTCTTCACCTGATATCCTGACTCTTGAAGAAGTTACATGCATTGCTCTTGTAATATAATATTTATTACTTGTCAAAATATTTATCAAAATTGTTCAAATTTAGATTGACTTTTCATTTTATTTTTTTTTTTACAAAACAGAGGGATTAGACTGGTTTTTACTTCATATAATGCTGATCCCCCTACATTTTTAAGCAGCTATTGAGCTTGATTTATGTACAACATAGTCTACATATAAGGACACTTTTTTTCTATTTGATCAGAAAAGACTACATAGCATAAAAGTAAAAATCTTTTATTAAACAAAAATCGCTCAATGGGTGTGAATCAGTATTTCCATTCTCTCCTGCAGGTGTCCTGGAGTCTTCCCCACAAACAGGCCAGCTCTGGAACGTATCAGGTTAAATTCTTTGACGAGGAGTCCTACAGCGCCCTCCGAAAGGTCAGTTTAAATAAAACAGTGGTTTGGCTCAAAACTTTTGGATAATTGCTTTTATTAGTAAAATGTTTTTTAAAAAGCACATCTTATCTGTTTCAGGCTCAAAGAAACAATGAGGATGTAAATGCAATTCAGCCTCTCTTCACCGTCAACATTGACCACAGGGTGAGTGATCAGAGGATGAGCGCTAAGCTAATCAGGGAACACCTTAATTTTGACTTAAGGTTGCTGGACGGTTTCTCTAAGGAAAAGAAGCATATGAAAACTAATGAAACTGCAGCACTGTTGCTGCAAGGTTGTACACATTTATTTATTTTTTTTATTAATAAAGCAATATTTTAGGCTCTAAAAAGCTTAAAATGTGCACATTAACCATAAAGGGGCCCTAAATTATATTTACTGGAGTCTTTAGGTCTCATATTTGCTCATTCTTTTAACATGGACTTCATTATTAATTGTTTAGTACTTAATTATCAAAATCTATATTTCACTAAGCTTGGTTTGAAAACAGGAATTTTTATATTTGAGTACAACCAGCGATCAGTCACTTAAATCTACTATAAACCGTAGACAAGTTTTACTTCCTTAAGTAATTTCAGAAAATACAAATTCACCTCTATAAATGTATATGCTAAGTATAATTAAAAAAAAAAAATTCCCAGCAAAGACCAACTCTTAAAAAAGGTTTAATATATATATATATTATGGATGGATGGATGGATGGATGGATGGATATATATATTTTTTAAGTGATATAAACATTGATGGGTTTAATCAACATCACTGATATAGACTTGGCATCAATTTACAGTTAGTAAAATGATGAGTTATGGCTGCTTCTTGTAGAAGAGAGGGAGCTGTTATCTTTACAACTTTGGGGCAGCTTAAAAGAGATGTTAATATTTTAGCTTACTTTACAGGTAGCTAAGACATCTTTTACGCTCACTGGGGCTTTGCTGAGAGTAATAAAGGGTGCAGAAATTACATGATGCTGTAAAAATAATGAATAAAATCAACAAGGACACATATAGCACTGTTTTATTTAGGAAAGGTAACCTTAAATTACTTTTGTTTTTATCTACGTTATTTAGAGATTTCTTTTATTATAATTATTTACTTGTCGCTAATGAAGAGGGAAACCCAGCCTATGAACAATTTCCCTATTTTTTGTAAAAAAAACAAACGATAAAAAAAAACTAGTACCGTAGTTTACAAAAAAAATAAAAGCAAATCTTATTGTTTCTAACCTGAATAGAACAATTTATTCAGCTGTGATACAATTCCTTTTTTAATGTGATTGCTCAGGATTCATAATAGAACCACCTATTTCAAAGCTGCAATCCTCTGAATGCATAATTTTCGTTGCTCATTTGTTTCTCTTCTCTCCTTTAGGGTGCGTGGAGCGGCCCTTGGGTGTCGACCGAGGTGGTGGCTGGCCTAATTGGCATTCTGGTCTATTACATGGCCTTCAGTGCCAAAAGCACCATCCAAGCATAACAACATCCACAGTCACTGGATGTGACCACTGGATTTTTGAAAAGACTGAATTTTGCTAAAACTGGATTAACTAATCCAACAACCAGCATTGCAGCTGGGTCCACAGGTTCTCGGTGTTTTGTCCTCTTTAGGGAAAGAATCAGAGCTTGTGGTCTTTGTTTTTCTTTTATTCAGACTTTGAGTGTTTTCAGAATAGTGTTTTTCACACGTTATCCTGTCAATCTGGATGGTCTTTTTTTTTTTTTTCTTTTTTAAAATTCTGAATATAAACCAAACAAACATTAAATGCAATTTGTATTCAGACCAGTCTAAAACCCATTGCTTCATCAGCAACAGGATGGTCTTATGAGTGGGTAAACTGGTCAGTCAGATGGTTTGAACAGACGTTTTGAGTTGGGCCTTTGATGAAGGGAAAATGTCAAAGAACTGAGGCGCTGACTGGCCTGAACAGGCCTTTGTAGACGCATCGTTTCCTGGAATATGAATAAAAAAAATGTTTCCCTATATGGGGTCTTGCTTTTCTTTTTACCATTTTTTCTTTTTCCCTCACTGACCTAAGATAATCCTATTCCACAACACATCAGCTATGATGGGAAGCTTTGGATCTAGTTTGGACAATAACAATTTTCCAACAGTTATAATTTAACCTTTGGGTATTTGCAAAAATTGTTATTGACTGTTTTATGATTCCTGTTGTAAATGTTTACCTGCTAACATTTTGAACGACTTAATTTAGAACTACAATGGTTTATTCCAAGTACTAGGCCTTTAATGAGGTGTAAATTGCACAATTTATTGTACAATATCGAGTCAGAGAATCTATGAAGATCTTTGGTTTCCTGTAATTTTCCATCTTAATGATACAATTGTCTGTGTCCAAAACAATGAGGTGTGAGCAACAGGACCCAGAGCAGGATAAATACTCTCATGCTTATCAAACCATAGAACCTAAGAGGCCTTAATTGGTTCCAGCCTTTAGATATTTTATAATCAGTTGGTGTAAAGTATTGCAATTTAATGTGTGTTGATTTTACCAAATTACTAGAAGATGTAAAGATTTCTGGGTGGTTTCTGTCATATGTATAGAAAGCGGTTTGGATCTTTGGTCAATTTATAGCTGAATGATTTAAGTCAAATATGATGGGACGAATATGATTAAAATAGATGGATATTTTTTAAAGATCTATAAGGAAAGTCTGAATATTGATCAGGATTATATCAGATATGCCTTAAGTTTTCATTCACATCACTAAATAATTGAGAGATGACTGGAGACACTGAGAGGAGCAGAAGTTGGAGATGGTTTGCTCACTTTTATTTTTCCAAGAGGTTTTCTGTGTTTACTTCAACTTTATGAATTTAAAACAGCTATAATTTTGCAGCAAAACTTTCTATAATTATCTTCCATGTTTTCTGTTGAATTTTATCATATGAATGGCCATTTAAACATAAGATAATAAGAATAAATGCTAATAAAAAGAGATCAATGGCTGAAATATATGTTATCAGCTGGAGCTACTGGTGTTTTCAGACTTTGGCGTATGCAGTACCACTAATTGACCAGATGAGGGCAGCAGTGCGTCGCCTTTTGTTCACAGCATCACAACATCACATCTATTAAACTATGTGATGTTTTTTTCTTAACCAGATCTCTTCGGTTTATAGTAGGACTGGGTGATTAATCAAATTTCTGTTTTAGAACAATTCATTTTTTGGAAATTTAGATTTTTTTCCTCCACATCAATTCTTCACTTTTTGCTCTTAGAAAAGTCCCTATAAGTGATAGACTAGCTGACCGTGTAAAAGCTTTTTTTGTTTGTTGTTTTGTTTGTTTGTTGTGAAATATTGGTTTGTTCACAGATTACATTTAGTTGCCCTTTATATTAAGGCCCCTTCACAAAGGGGATAATTGAAATAAAAGCTAGTTTTTAAAGTAATCTATATCATTTGGCATTTTTATTGTAAAACTTCAAAGAGAAAATTAATTAATTTTGTTAGGAACTATTAATATAATTATTATTCTTATTTTTTTGGTTTTTTCCCTCCTTTTGAAAAAGATACTGGGAACAAGAAGACTATTTATGTTATGAATTAATGGAAGGGGTATGATTATATATATAAGTTATATATAAGTTAAACTTCATCATACTCCTTTTCAGACTCACAGTCACCGGATAAGTTGTGCATTGACATGCATTTGAGGATGTAGTTCTGATAGTAAGGTATTGTATTCACACTTGGAAACATGAAAGCATTTAAATTTATTACGTTTTATTGGTGAGATGGTTGTCTTAAATAAAAAAAAAGTATCATCATCATCATTATCAAAAAAAATCAGAGATTAGACTATAAACCATGTGGCCTAATCTCAGTTTATTTGGGTTATTCAGTTTATTGTTATCTCTTGTTTTTCTGCAATTGTTTATTCTTTAAACCCTCTCATTGATGGTATTTTCTGTCCATTTTATAGTAGTTGAATCATGAAAATTGACATTTATTGAAGTAAATGGGTCCTGCATTGCCTTAAATGTTCCTCTGGGCTTTTT